TTTAATTGTGCATAAACAACTTAATTTTTATTAAAAAATATATATGTATGTACAACACAAAGCAAGAAATATTGCATATTTTAATCTAACGCAACTTTAGTTTAATAAATTTCTTCGTTGTCATTGCTGAGTATAATCAACAGAGAACGTTTTTCGGCGGAATGAGATGGCTTTCATTTTCAGAATTTCTTTCTTCATTTAAAGTTCTGGCATTTTCTTCCCTCTTTAAACATTTCGAAGTTCACTTTGTTTGCTAGTTCTTACCGGGTCATTTTAAATTTCTTGATGTGAAATTAGACAGTTTTGCAGCTCCCTTTTGACTTTTCGGCTTATTTCAGCGGAAGGGTCTGCACTCAAGAAAAATAACTCGAGATTTTCAGCTAAGCGTAAGCCTTCTTTTAATTTTTTTAATGTTAAATTATTAACTTCACAATCTTCAGCAGTGCTAGTGTCCTCAGAATCGATTTGATTTACAGCTTCGGATGCCATTTCTATCAAATTTCGTCAATTTCTTCTTCCGCTAATAAATCTTGAACGTCCTCAATAGCCATGCTCAAAAACCATCGCCTCCGATTGATTTAGCAAGTTTTAATATGCCACCATTTTCATTTTTTTGACGATTCACGCACGTTTTCTGTTTCAACTGAAGAGGGCCATATCTTCTAACATGCATTTAACGTTAATGCTTTCAGTTCTTTCAACGACAAAGATACGATGTGGATTCAGTTCTTGATTGAAAATGTCTTCCAATGCTTCCATTACATTAATCGATTTTGAATCGGTTACGTCTAAAATCTACCGTAATGCTCTTCTTATATAATATGTTTTAAAGGTATAAATAATACCTTGATCCTATAGTTGGAGTAACGAAGTAGTGTTAGGTGGTAGGAACAGTGTTTTGACATTGGAATGATTCAAATCTTGTGGGTGACTTGGAGCATTATCTTATAGTAATAAGCGCCTTGAAGCTCAAATTTGTCTGCCTTAAATAACGTTCAGCGTCTGGCACAAAACAATTTAAAAACCAGTCTTTAAGTATATTCCAAGCTACCCAAGCTCTTGGATTTGCTTTCCAATATACCGGTAAGGTGTTTTTGTTTACGCCTTTAAGTTCACGAGGATTTAAAGATCTATAAACTAACAAGGGTTTTGTCATAAAGCCCAAAGTCATACTGCACAAAAATAGCGTTAGACAATTTTTAGATACCTTAAATCAGGATGCAATTTTTTTCTTTTTTCGATATAAAGGTTCTAGTGGGCATTTTTTTCCACCAAAGCCCACTTCTGTCGGCATCGAAAACGTGAACTGCTGTGTATCTTTGTTCTTCTATAATATTTTAAAATCTTTCAGGAAACGTCCTTCATTGCCGAAATATCGCGCTATGCACGATTTGTCTGGCTCATGAAAAATAAAGCCCAGTGGGCACTTGACATTAAGACTTCATGACAGTTTGATAAATGTCTGAGGTGAAACTTTTGGGATAGAGTGTATATATGTAAGATATAACAAAATACGATAGCTGCTTTAAAAAAATAATTGAGGACCTCGTAATTAACATTCTAAATTTGGTGTTCTTCCCCTTAATTCATCTGTTCCTCCAAATTCAAGATTTGTTTACGTTATGTAACGCTACTGAAAAGGTCAACCAAAACTAATATTAACCAATCATAGCTTGTCTCTAGAATCGCACCTACTCGCAGCTTCATAATCAGCCGATGCAGATTCTCCTTGTGTTCTTATACTATGAATTGCAAAACGCTTTTTGAAATTTTCGAACTAACTTTTACTTACCAGAAAATCTGCGTTGACAGAAGGTTCTCCATGTTCTTTGAGGTGCTTGAAAATTTTGAGTACATTTTGTTTAATGATATTACCATTCAACGAAATTCTTTTTGACAGCTATCGTCAATCCAAATGCTGAGTGCCTTTTCCATCTTCTCAATTATTGGCATCCCCGATGTTTCGTGGATGTCGAAAATCCTGCAGCAACTGCACTTCTTATTTCTTTTTAATTTTAACTGTTTTTAACTGTTTCTTCATTTCAATTAAAACTTTCCAATCTGAGATGCATTTTCTTCTTATAAAAGGCAGTCCAAGATTTGTATCTGTGCTTCTAAAGAAATGAATTTCCTCTTAAACGTTGTTTTTTTATCTTTATCGGACATGTTTTGGGAGTGAAACTTAATGTCTTAAAGACGTAAAAGTTTAACAGACTGTGGCTCGACGCAGATTGCCGTCCAGCAGCGTGAGACACTTTTGTTGTCAGGCCATGGAGACGAGGATTCGAATTTTGGAAGCCGAACGTGCAGGTTGTGCGTTCTAGAGCACTTATTGTGACCTCATGTTGTTCACCTTCTGCGATAGTGAGGTTTCTTCATTGTTATCTGGAGAAATTTGCTCATACGGGTCATGTGAGGACATTTGTTTTTACGGCTATCGGATCTTGGAAGACAACTGGTAGAACTTACGACGAGACAAGGATTCTTATGTGTTAAATGACTATACGGATGCTTTGCACAATATGGAGAAAGTTCGTGCGGAGTTCTTTAAATTCCTTCGCATTGATTGGGCAATTTTCTTATCGTGTTAGAGAGAAACCGTGTTATAGGAAAACCGTGTTGTAGGAGGGTTCTCGCAATTTATGAATCGGGTTATAGCGAAACCGTGTTACAGGATGCCGTGTTGTAGGAGGGCTACCTGTAATTTAATATTCCGTACAAGAAAGTCATGTGCTGTCCGCATTAGACTTTTATTCTTTGTGGAGGAAAAAAAAACAAACTAAACATTGAATTTGATGTCTTAAAGTAAGGTTTTGAATTATTGTAGTCCCTTTAGTTAGCTTTTATGGTATAGATAACTATAAATAATAATGGTGATAATTTTATGATATAGATAACTAGTACTTTTAGTCAGCAAGTGGGAGATCCATGATTCGAATCCTGGCAAGGCCGCAGTAAATACTCTCTATCCTGAAAGTTTATAGACTCGGGTAAATTACATATTTAAGGAAACTCGAAATTTATAAAATTAACCAATTAAAGTATTTAAAATACATGTGGCTTGCATCTGCGTAAATATTTAAAAAATATCAATTTGTCATTTAGAAAAATAAAAAACAGAAAAATGTGCGTTCCAAAAGTTTATAGATTCTGATTTTGTGCAAATTGGTTAGCAACAATCATGATGGGGAACTTGAGGAAATTGTTCACAAGTTGTTTATATATTAATGTTCTCTAAACGTTTGGGACGCATATTCATGTGTGTTTTTATATTTTTCGAAAATATTTACTGGAATGCAAGTCGCGTGTGATCTAAAGAAATAGGTTTTTATTTTGAGTTTGTGTTTCTTTCAAGTTTTTTAAAAGACGTAATAATTAGTCGAATCTATAAACTTTTGGGTCTAGTCTGGTCTGCACAGTTATTGCCGAAATATCGCGCTATGCACGATTTGTCCGGCTCATGAAAAATAAACCCCAGTGGGCACTTGACATTAAGACTTCATCACAGTTTGATAAAGGTCTGAGGTGAAACTTTTGGGATAGAGTTTATATATATATATATATATATATATATATATGTAGGATATAACAAAATACGATAGGTGCTTTAAAAATAATTGAGGACCTCATAATTAACATTCTAAATTTGGTGTTCTTCCCCTTAATTCATCTGTTCCCCCAAATTCGAGATTTGTTTACGTTATGTAACGCTACTGAAAAGGGCAACACAAACTAATATTAACCAATCATAGCTTGTCTCTAGAATCGCACCTACTTTGCTATAAATACCTCTGGCAGCTAATTACGTCATCCTTTTCCTAGCTTCCGCTGCTGTTAAAGTATTCCTGCTGCTCTGCTTCTACGTCTAAAATGCCTGCGTCATAAATTTAAGAACCAATGTACATAGCAATCTATCATATTTCATTATGATTGATTCATAGATTCTTGGATTTCATTATTTTGAATGGATAAACATCTATGGAGATGATTTTTATACGCGCGGAAATAAAGACTGGAAATTCGTCAAGTTCATGTTTTGTTATCTTCATCTGTAAGACTTCATCCTCAGCCTCAAAGACTGCAAGCTAATTTCTCTTCTATGTTTCAGAACTATTACATATATACATATGTGTGGGATGTACCAGCTTTAGTCGTAGCTTAAATTATCAGACAATAAGTTTAAAAAAAAACAGGATCCATTTATTATTATTCAGGAGAAATAGCAGTTACAAAATCAGATATCCGGAGTAAATAAAAAGAATTACTAATAACTTTTTGTATGAAGTTTACTGCATCGTGACATTTAAGAAAAAGCCCCGATATTCCTCTTGCGAGTCCTTTTATAGCCTCTGGAAAGGCGGAGCTTCCAAGAAATGACGTCAGCCTCGTCAGCCAATCCAGTTCGCTTTAAATATTTCCAGAACATTCTATAACTGTACGTGTACAAAAAGCAGAAAAACAATTTGACTACGGGGCTGTGGATTTAATTCCACGTACTTTCAAATAAGAGACCGTCGCCATTAAAAATGAAAAGAACATACAGTTAGAATTTTAAGTATATTCTGACATGGAATTTTATTATTACATATATATATACATTATGTTTCCTGGATTTGAGGAATCTGTGTCCAAAGTAGTGTGCGGATTAAAATGTGATATATAACAACTCATCCGAATTGTGTCAGCAGGTTCTTGTACTTTATTTCAATCATCCTTTACGTGAGAGTTATAGCGTAGTAAGTTATGTAAAGAGTTGTAGCAGTACCTCATGCATCCTCTGGTAGTATAAGCATTTAAACCTTCCAGCTAGCCAGAGGAAGATCTGCAGTCAGAGTAGATTTTTCACTTTCCTAGATTTGAAGAATCTAATGATTTCTAAGAAGTTATCAGTACAGGGATACTTTGCGATTTCGTTTTCGGTATTTATTGAATTATATGCTTCAAAATTTTCATTCATATGTGCGTGCATCATTCGCATAATTTATAATTCTATTTTTCAGGTAATGGACCTGAAGACTGATGTTTCACAGCGGAAGCGAACTCTTCCAACCGTGATAGGAACGTCCGTTGTTCCCAGAGAAAATGTTGTGGATTGTGCTTCCTGCCAGAAGCCCATCCGGGAACGTTACTTGCTAAAGGCCCTTGACCAGTTTTGGCATGAAGACTGTTTGAAATGTGCCTGCTGCGACTGCCGTCTGGGAGAAGTTGGGTCCACACTCTTTACCAAGGCCAATCTCATCCTGTGTAAGAGAGATTATCTCAGGTAATACATCTTCACTATCAGAGGATGTCTAGTTTTGTTTGAAAAACTTACTCTTATACGTTTACCACCATTTGTTGGTCTTTTCGTGATTACTTTCTGGATGGAAATGCTAGCAGGAAATTTTAGTACATTCGCTGTACACGCAACCTCTTAAGTAGACCAGTGTCAAGGACGCAGAGAAATGACCAATTCAAGTTAGTAGTATTCAAGTTAGTCCTTCCATAAAGTAGTCTGAAGCAGAGCAGTTGAAAGACCTTATGAAAAGGACAGACTTGGCAGTTGTAAACTGCTACGTTGTCAAAGACAAGAAGAAACGAACAGCTCGAGTTAGTATTTCCTTCCATTCAGGAGTCTAAAGACGATCACAGAATAGTACACTCATGTCCATAAATTAAGCATAATGCAAAATCAGGCAAGGGAAGAGTTAGAAGCAAAACAAATTTGACTTATTTGTAAAGCTTATTTATTAAACAAAAGGTAAAGAGCAAAAAAAGATGCTATATGTTTGATATTATTAAAAAAATTAGCTATTTTTTCTCCCAGGAGAAAATTACAAAAAAAAACCTATTTAAAAAAAACAATATTACATGGTTGGTATGATTGTTAATACATTGTATGTCTCCCAGACGATGCAATACAGTCCCTACAACGCCTAGGCATGCTGAGTATCAAATTATCCATCTGATCTTGGGGGATATTACACCATTCAAAAAGCAATGCTCTCCGAAGTTCCGGTAGACATGTAGGAGGAGGTTGACGGGCTACAACTCGTCGGCCAAGCATGACCCACACGTGCTCTACTGGATTCAAGTCCGGTGAGAATGCTGGCCAGTCCATACGGGTGATATCCTCCAATTGAAGGCATTCGCTTACGATGTTTGCACGGGGAGGACGGGCGTTGCCATCCATAAACACAAATTGTACTCCCATGGCGCCCCGAAACAAACGTCCATGTTGTTCCAGAATTACTTCCCGATAGATTTGATTTGTTATGGTTCCAATTTGAACATGCAGCTCAGTTCTGGAACCCAGAATAATTCCACCCCAAACGAGCACTCCTGCACCACCGTAACGGTGTCGTTCAGTGATGTTTTCTTGGTGGTAACGGGTACCTGGAGCTCTCCATATGAAAGTTCGGCGAGAATCAGATTGCAAGCTAAACCTGGACTTGTCGGAAAATATCATACAAGCCCACTGTTGCGGTGTCCACAATGCATGCTCTCTACTCCAGGCTAACCGCTGGCGACAGTGAGTTGCAGAAAGTCTGATCACCTGAGATCTGAGTGAGTTGCATCTAACAAGTCTACGAGCATATAGACCAGTCTGCCCTAAGCGTCTGCCTTGAAATTGTCGTAAAAGTGGCTGAAGAGAGCTGAAGAGACAGGTCTGAGGCTGTGCTCCGCCTGTTTCTTTTGGCAGTAACTGCCAAATACCGGTCCTCATTCGGCGTTGTAACTCTGAGGCGACCTGTGCTGTAACGTCTACTGACATTACCATCATCTTGGAATCGTTGCCAAAGCCTGGAGATGACACTCTGGGCAATTCCAAGTTCGTCTGATACTTCCAGTTGGGCACGCCCACATTCCAGACGGCCGATAATTCTACCACGTAAAAAATCATCCGAACGCGTCCTTTGTGTCATAACTATTCGGTTATCGCACTGAAATGCTTATAAAGCGCCTGCGAACAATTTTACTTCTTTGCCTGTATTCCTTATATATCACTCTCTTACACTCTCGTCATTGTGACGTACCATCGGTGTCATCTGGTTACTTCCTGAAATTTTCATATGATTCTTGAAGATGTGTGTAGTGATTTTACAGGTGATATATTTATTTTAGAATTCGATTTCCGCGTGACTCCGAATTTTCCTTAATTTATGGACATGAGTGTAGAATAGCTTTTCAGAAATGGTAAATCTCGCAGACTAATTGCAAACTTTCCAGTATGGATGAGAATGAAAAGAGACTGTCATTTTGACTCCACTATTTCCTTCCGTTAGAGTAATCCGAAGAAGAAAGGCCTCGGGATGGTAGAAATGCCTTTCGAAGTTGATTAATCTCGCGGACCAATTATAAGCTTCCAGCGCTGTTCCAAGCCGGCCCACCAGTGGTCGAGTGGTAAAGTCGCTGAATACTGTTACTTTCGATTGCAGGCGAATGGGTTAGCTGCATGGGCGTTTTCGTGGTTTTCTCCGTGTGTATACGTTGCCCTTCCTCTTAGAAAGTTTTACACGAAGGTATCCTTCCCCTTAGGTATATAGCTGTTGCATTGCTGTAGATGGCTGGTTCGATTACAGGCGAACAGGTTAGCTGAATGGGCTTTTCGTAGTTTACTCCGTGTGTAACGTGTATACGAGCCCCTTTTTCTTAGAAAGTTTTCCACGAAGGTATCCTTCCCCTTAGGTATATAGCTGTTGCATTGCCATAATTAAATAAACTAAAGCATCAGGTAGCTGATACTTCGCCATAATTAAATAAACCAAACCAAACCAGCGTCTAAGGAGAAATTGTCATTTCGAGTCCAGTATTTCCTTCTATAAATTAGTCTGAAAAAGCCCATAGGGTAGATCATACACCTTATAAAGACGACAAATCTATGAGTGATGTTTAGTAGGTATGTTTTTATTTCGATCATTCCAATTCAATATTTAATATTCTCACATTGTCGCTCAACCCGGATATGTGATTAGCCGTGTTTACTGCCGTACCGGTTTCGAATCCCGAAGAATGCATGGATGTTTGTTTGCAAATTTATAGAGTTTGTGCGTCACGGTGGCCCTGTAAATATGCGGTGAACCGAAAGTCCTCTAGAGAGGTTAGTGGTACCCATGGACCTGTCTGCCCGGGCTGCTCTCCATCAAAGGTGGTGGCGGAACTGAGTAAAGTCGTACTGTAGAGTGTTTTTGCTCTACAGTAGTGGTACTGTAGAGTGCTCTTACTAACTACAAGCGCATTTCGTGGGCTTGTTCTGATGTTACTATCAGACAAGTGAGATAATTCACAACAACAACATATTCTCATTACCCTTAAAGTTCAAGTAATCAAAAATTAAATTACCCTTAAAGTGTGTCATATGAGAAGACATTTCAAATCAGGTTTCTTGATAGATATAGCCTTAATCCTTGCGCGGAAGTTAATCTTTTCCAGTTATGCAAAGGAACACAAAATTCAATGCACAATTAAAAAAAAGTAGTTATACCGTGGATTTTGATATATTGCATGTATAATTGTGTTCCCAAGTACTTTTAGAATATTATATTGTAGCCGAGATTTCTCTTAAAGTCACGGAATCTATTTTAATTCCAATTTATTTACTTACGCACTGGAAACATCATATTGCGTACGCGCTGAAGAAACGATCTCAGCATTCCCTACAGAACATTATCAGGGATTTAATTGAGAAACGCGTATAAAATTAGAATAAATTTCGGCTCCTTGCTGCATGGTGTATGTTGTGAAATAAAATATATGATACAATAGATGTCGGCCTGTTTAAGAATTACTGAACTGTGTTTTGAATTCATTCGCTATAACGCGGATAGCAATGAGGTTTCGTGATGCTAGCGGTAAAACGAGTTTTTCCTGTACTAATTTTTTATAACAGATTTGATTGCGAAAGAACAATAAATTTGCCAAATAAACCTTTTTTTTTTTTTTTTTTTTTTTAGTCCAGAAATGTCCCGAAATGGCATTTTGCGTTGAGTCACTTATAAATGGGATGTATCACTTTTGAAATTTTTGCCACCAAATATTATCGCCCTGTATTATATTTACAGAAGCTAAATAATGAAGAATCTGCATGAATGATTCTCGCATTGTATAAATTCTCGTACTGCTAAAAATGTATGTATGATTCTCGCATTGCTAAAAAACAATGGTACCTAGAGACATTAAATTTTGAATAATGTAGTCCTCCACCCGAGCATCTGAATATGAGCATCTGGAAGTCCGAAACTGGAGTTTGTTTTATTGTCAATTTCATATTTTGTAAAACTTAAACGAATTTTTGACTAAACTATTCAACGATTTCAAAGCGACCAGTAGCAATACTGTACGGAATGAAATATTTTTTATCTTCAAAGCGCGAAACTGTATATCAGAAATTCTAAAGCTATGCTGTTTTTAAATATTTTGTGATATAGCTGTGTGGTTGAATTTTATGCGGGTTAAGTGCGAAGAATGTAATATTTAATAAATAAAGGTTATAAGGTATTTCTCCCACTTTCTTAGCATGCCTTCGTGGTGTAGCGGGCAGCACGCTCGGTGCGTGAGGTCCGAGGTTCGAAGGACATTTCTCATTTTTCATCCGTCCTACAAACCAAAAATACCTAATGTCTCTACAGTGGCGCCAGAGCTAAAAAAGGTGGTGGATGATGATTCTCCACTACCAGGATTTGGCGACTGGGTCCCCTAATTCCCATTCGCCCTTTAAAAGGGGGAGTATATAAGGTATTTCTTCTCACTTCTTCGCATGCCTTCGTGATGTAGTGGTTGAGCCGTTCGGCGAGTATTCGAGAGGTCCGCGGTTCGAGTCCCGGCGAAGGCATTTTTCATCTTTCTTTCTTCCAAAAAATCCTAATGTCTTTACAAGGTAACAAAAAACAGGGTTAAAAAAAGCCCCTTTGGGTCTTCCTCTCACTCCTAAAGGGGCGTAATATAAAGCGTTTGGAATTTTCGTTTTCGAGAACATTTGGGCGAATGTGTCTTTTGGATAAAAATATTTAAAAGCGGCACTTCTTTAGAATTTTGGACAGTCTGGAAAGTCTGGAGCGCTGCAACCTCCTTTCCCCCCCAAAAAAAAGCAAGATAAGCTTCTCGAGACAGCTGAAAATTGCTAAATCGAAGGCTAAATATACTAAAAATGCGCGTGGAGTATCATTCTGATCGAATAGTTTCTTTTCAGTTTGCACTAGAACTTAATTAGTTTTATCATCAGGAGAAGATAACTTAGGATACTTCCAATAATAACTCACTTGCTTGCTTACAAATTTATCGCTTCTCTACGTACGTATATTATTTAATCGTACGATTATTTAATTGTTCACAATGCGAGAGTCATACATACATTAAGGGGGCTCATACACATTAAACCCCTTATGAGCTTCAAATTATGTGACTGTTGCAAGAATTGAAATATTTTATTTACTTTAAAAGTAATTACCTCCAACTTTTTACAGCTGACTACATAATATAGCTACTTTGGAAACTAGTAATCAGAAAGTTTGTGTTGCCACAAATATTTTGTAATTTAATCCGCTTTGTGATAACATATTTCGTCATTTTTCCACCTTGCGCGCATGATATTTTAAAAATGGCTAATGGTACATACTTGAAATTGGATGGAATTCTTTATATGGGTACTATTTTCTAACTGAACCAAAAATCTGATGAGTATTTTAATATTAAAAAATTTTATGCATGAAAACATTACAGATTTTTTTTAATAAAATACATTTTATAAACTCATCTCCAAATTGAATAAAAATTTAACATGAAATTCTCATTTTTTTTTTGGTTTACTGAAGTTTTCAAATGTTATAAAAGCTACATATAAACTATGGAATTAAATAATGCAACATTTGAAAACATTTAAACTGGCGCGCATTTTAAACTGTGCGCGCAAGGTGGAAACATGACGAAAATTTTTGTCACAAAGCGGATTAAATTACAAAAATATTTGTGGCAACACAAAATTTCTGATTATGATTTCAGAAAGCAGCTATATTATGTAGACAGCCATAAAAAGTTGGAAGTAATTGCTTTTAAAATAAATAAGTTATCCCAATTCTTGCAACAGTCACATATTCGAAGATCATAAGGAGTTTAAGGTGTATGAGCCCCCTTAATGCGGATTCTTCATTATTTAGTTTCTTTGATTTTATCCGTGCGTATATTATTTCATGTACAAATATTTCAGCAATAACCTAGTTTCCAGTTAATAATGAGACGATACTTATAATTATATTTATATTAATTATAATTAATTTATATTTTTTATAAGTTATTAACCATATATCATCAGGATTTGAAAAAATAAAGTTCTGATTTTGATATTTTTCCTACTATAACCTCTAGATTATTTGGTACCACGGGATTATGCTCAGCGTGCAATAAGACGATCCCGGCGTTCGAAATGGTGATGAGAGCCAGAGGCAATGTATACCACCTAGAGTGCTTCGCATGCCAACAGTGCAATCATAGGTAAGAAACTTTAAAAGAATTTTCTCAGTAAATAATAATGTTCTAAAATAGGACAAAAATAGCGCTAAGATGAAGTTTCTCGAATTCCTGATTAGTTCTAATATAAATGTTACCGTGAAAGACTGAAATTAGAGAATGTTAATTTTCTCCGTTAAATATTGACAAATACGATGATATTCTTATACATGCGGATCATCGTCGGTATATGTCGACAAGCATAGGTAAGTTCTGGTGAGGGTAAAAAAAAAAGTAAGGATTATTGCACAATTCAGAATGTCATAACAGTTTAAGCTGTTGCAATGTATAAAATTATACAGGGTGTCCCATATATAACGCCCAAACTCTGCACAGCTAGATTCCTAGTTGAGAGTACATAAAAAGTGCCCAAAGAACTGTTCCTGTACGATTCTTACTTTACGAGAAAAATACATCACAACCGGTGCCATTGAAAAACACTTTATTTGACACATCAACATCAAGATTTGGGCATTCCTTGCTCCGTGAACTCAATCACACTACAGATCCACTCCCCCCTTTGGGCATTTCGTGGAGGTACGACCTCCACTATTACCCTTCCAGGGGAGCAGCGCATCACCTGGATAAGACACCAGGCAGCACTGGTCGTCAATTGCTCCTGCCAATCGCATGGGCGAGCACGTCGCAGAGGGCCGTTACCCAGCAAAACGGGGGGGGGAATATCCCGGCTACGGATCCAACCGCTCAGGACATGCCAGACCCCGAGGCCGACTAGTGAGTGACCTTTCCCGGGGCCTTCAAAACCACCAAGTTCATAAATTTTATACCCCCGTGGCCGAGACGGCCTAGGTACAGATCCTAGCCAGTAGCTTCGCAGAATTCTCCACGTCGACCCCCCCTCCGGGGGGAACACATCAACATCAGTATTTATAAAGGTAGATGTTCATAGTGTCCGCCGTGCATATCGAAGCAGGCTTGAGCGCTCTGTGGAATGGATTAAAAAGCATGTAACAGACCGCACTGCTGTATGCAGTCATAAGAAGAATAAGGCATAAGAAGTATAAGCAGTATGCAGACAAGCATCTAAGTCCGTTTGTGTAGTCACGACGTCTCGATACACCAATTCCTTGAGATGAGAAAAAATCCTAGGCAGTGAGATCTGGCGATCGTGGTGGCCATAGAACCGGACTCCCACATCTAATCCAGCGGCCTGGGTATTCCATATCCAGCCAGTGACGTACAGAAGCGATAAAATGCGCCAGAGCTTCAACATGCTTGAACTATCGGCGATATGACGGATACGACGTCATACTTTTCTTTTGCGTTTTTATCGAAAACTATGGATCGCACAGGTACAGTTCTTTGGGCATTTTTTATGTAATCGGAATGAGGAATATGGCAGTGCAGAGTTTGGGCGCTTTTTATGGGACACCCTGTATAACGTTAAGTTAACACGTTAATCATGACAAAAATTGACCTTTCAGATTTCGCAATTTTTGATGTCATTTTTGGTTAATTAAGTTAAAATAATTGAATAATTCACGCGAAATTTTACAAAATTCAATATTTATTCATAATTTGAGTCGTAGAATCAAAATATGAAAAACAATTGGCATGTGACTTCAGAAAAAGTCAAAAGATTTTGTGTCCAAATACCTATGTTAGAATGATGGCTATTTTTAAATCTAATGTATATCCTAAGTCGCGCTTTTGAGACATGAAAAACGCAATTTAAATTTCGTGAATTGACCCAGCACAACGGGAGATATAGAACTGTCTTTTTTTTAAATAATTTAATTTTCAATTTTTATTTTTTTTCCCAGTGTACATTAGCAAAATATTCCCAGTGTACATTTAAAGTGGAGAATGAACCAAAATTAGTTTAGAAAATTGTGTTATAGAGGAATATAAAAATGTAAGGCCGATCTTAAGAATTTTACCGCCCCTTTGATAATTAACTGTGCGTTTATTTTAAAATTGAGGCCAGTTTTCCTCCTTTTTACAAACTTTGCTGCACTGCCAAACACGACAATTTAAGAATGACTAAACGAGAAGACATATAACTTTCCTAAAGTATACGTCAGTGCTTATAATTGCAAATACAATTGATACCAAAGTTAATTATTTTGAATTTAATAATTCATTGTGATGGAATGGAACATAACAAAATGGAAAGACAGAATGAATTACGTCAGGACTTCGATGATCATGTTATCCCTAGAAATCCTTTGATCCCTAGGCCCGTGTCTGAACTGGAATTTGTGCTTTTCGGGTTTGCATGAAATGGACAGTTTACAACAAGAAAACTCTTGTGTTCGCTTTTCCTTCCAATGCTCAATATTGAAAGAAGCACTTCAGACAATCAATGGTGAAGCTTTTGCTCTTTGTGTCCTGCCAAAGTGTATCAGTGGGGGAATTTCCAACTTCAAAAAAGAAACAGTAAATGCTACCAGCATGTCCTGTGAAGGAACTTCTGCACTAAAGTAGGTACTACGCTTTCCTCTTTACCGTGCCTTCCATTCCATCACAGTAAATTATTAAACACATCCGGGAATCTTTGATGTACGTTCTATAACAGATTACCTTTCAGAGTGGGTAAAGACAGAACTCAGGCAACTTTCAGGAATACTTACTGTTTTAGAACGCAACAGTCAGAATAGAAGGAGTATACACATTCTTTCAGCAGTTATTTTTGTGCAAACAGAATAAAAGCTTCTTCTCGTAGACCTTTCATGTACAGAAATGAGAACTTAACTAAGGTATAATAATAAAGTAAAAAATTTTAACAGGGAAAATGAACCAAAGAAATGGTACAATATTTAAGGGGGCTCATACACCTTAAACCCCTTAACACCCTACGAATATGTGACTGTTGCAAGAATCGGGATACTTTATTTATTTTAAAAGCAATTACTTCCAACCTTTTACAGCCGACTACATAACATAGCTGCTTTGGAAACTAGTAACCAGAAAGTTTGTGTTGCCGCAAATATTTTCGTAATTTAATCCGCTTTGTGACAAAATATTTCGTCATGTTTCCACCTTGCGCGCACGATATTTTAAAAATGGCTAATGGTACATACTTGAAATTAGATGGAATTCTTTATATGAGCTCTATTTTTTAACTGAACCAAAAATCTGATGAATGTTTTAATATTAAAAAATTTTATGGACGGAAACATTACAGGTTTTTTTTAATAAAATACATTTTATAAACTCGACTACAAATAAAATAAAAATTTAACGTGAAATTCTTAGAATTTTTGGTTCACAGTAATTTCTAAATGTTATAAAAGCTATGTATTAAATATCGAATTAAATTATGTAACAGAATGTTTTAAACTGTGCGCGCAAGGTGGAAACATGATGAAACATTTTGTCAAAAAGCGGATTAAATTATCAAAATATTTGTGGCAACACAAACTTTCTGATCACTATTTCAGAAAGCAGCTATATTATGTAGTCAGCTGTAAAAAGTTGGAAGTATTTGCTTTTAAAATAAATAAGTTATCCCAATTCTTACAACAGTCACATATTCGAAGATCTTATGGGTTTTAAGGTGTACGAGTCCCCTTAAGGTCATCAAAGTAAGGCTTTAAATATGGATATAACTCAATAGGGAATTAAAGAATTTATAAACTCAGATGAAAGTAAACCGAATAGATATTTAGGTATGATAGCAGTGTGCATAGGCATAACTAGAGAGGAGCGGTCTATTTTTGGAGACTTGGAAAGATTATTTTGTAGGGGTTTATCATGTGGATAGTCGAAGCACGCAGAGAATAATAATGTTCGAATTGCGTACTGAGTTAAACAGAAAAAAATCGTTTTACCTGGAGGTAAAATAGTCAAAGAAATCACCAAGTGATTTCAACAGCTACATACTCTTGTTGTATGTTTTCTATTTCATCAAAACTTTTGAATGCAGTAGTGTTTTCTTCTCCTTTTCTGCATGCTTCGTGGTGTAACGGTTAGCACACTCGGCGTGTATTTGAGAGGTCCAGGTTCGAGACCTGGAGAGGGCATTGCTCAATCATATCTCATGCTTCATAAAAATTTTAATGACTCTGTTATAAACTAAATTATGATCATGGTGAAATTAATAAGGAAGAATTCTTTATTGACAGAGAATTATTTCGGGAGTTTTACTTCCGTTACTGCTAGGGACAACGAAACGAAAACCTAGAATGGAGATCGTTTTGAATTTTTCTAGCTTTTGCTAAAATACAATTTCCAAAACATAGCTCCTAATATTGTAATATTAGTACGAATTTTCCTCACATTTGCCGAAAGCGCTGCTGGTGGCGAGAAGAATTTTCGAAATGGAAATACTTAGAGTGTTTCTTAGAACTGTAAATGCTTATTTTACATTTAAGAAATATTTTAATAATTTCTACATTGCAGCAAATGGAGCAACCTCTGCAATGTCATCGATGCTTTTGAAAACAAAACACACACACAGAGCGCACAAAAAAAGGGGCGAAGAAAAATAATTAAAAAAAAAATCTAAAAGCTTTCAGATTTTATATTACGCCCAAAGAGGCTTATTTAACGTTTTGTGCGTTACCTTTATTTATTAAATATCATGTTCTTCGCACTTAAACCATAAAATTCAATTCAACAGCAATATCGCAAAGTAATTTTAACAAGAACAGATCTTAAGAATTTCCGATACACAGTCTCGCGGGATGGAGACAAAAATGTTTTTTCCTTCCGTACAGTGTCGCCATTGATCACTTTGAAGTCGTTGAGTTTCTTAATCAAACACTCATAAATGCTTTACAAAATATGAAATAGAGAATAAAACAAATTCCAAGTGGGCATTTAGATGCCCATATTCGAATGAAGGACTACGTTATTTAAAATTCGATGACCGTTGTTTTTTTCACGGTGCGAGAAACATACTACATACGTTCATACAAATTCTTCCTTACTTAATGTCTTTAAATAAAATGCAGGGCGATAATATTTGGTGGTAACAATTTGAAAAGTGAAACGCCACAGAATGCCAAAACGAAATTGAT